AGCACCTTGTTTAGTAGACATGGTGGCCCAATGGTTAGTGCGCTGGCTTCAACGTCAAGAGGTCATTTAACCCTTAAACTGCCAAGATCTGATTGTTAATGCTCCCTTCAGCTGCTACACATTTCCTTATAAATTAGTTGCAAGAATTTGGTGTTCGATCAAGATAACAACTTCTCCCTGATAAGTATGAGTATTCTCATTAACTGTTTGCTAAATAATGCATGGATATTGTAGAAGAAGTTACATTTTAATCACTTTTGGGAGTTAAGGGGTTAACTTTCCTTGTCTCTCTTAACTCAGGAGTATAACTGGGTACCAGTAAACCTACAGAAATATTAGCAAGAGCATCTTATTTCAGAAGAAAAATTGTTCTTACCTTTATCTGCTTTTTCTGCTGGAGTTGAAGGGATAGAAACTGGCAACCAAGTTGCATTTTCTGACCTTCCTACTGTTTCACGAATGCTACGCTTTTCAACAACAGTGCCAATAACATTTCCTGGACTCTGACGCGAAACTCTTGGAGGTGGTTCAATACCACATCCACAGGTATTACAAAACCTTGCGAATGCACTATTGGAAGCCTGACATTGGGAACAGATTAGAGGACTTTGGTAAGGCTGTGGCTTTGATCCACACCAATCACAGAAACGAGCATCACTGCTATTCACGCGAGAACACTTGGAGCAAGACATCAGGCTACTAACAGAGTCCTTTGGCATTGGAGGAGCACTTGTGCCTGTAAATATTTGTTTAGCATTGTATGGAAGTTTTGCTTCACAGGTGACACAAACTGTCATGTCCGGTGGATTTCCTGTACCACATACAGCACACATTAACTTGTGTGCCAATTTCTTGGTGGCCTGTGGTTGACGCTGTGGTGAAATAGGTGCTTCACAGATGATGCAATTGGGTGTGTTCAGTGGTACCATTGAGTTACAGGAGACACACATACCAAGCTGCCCACCCTCAGGAGGGGGAAGCCTTGAAGATGGTAATGGCGGAATGGGGGATCCACATTCAGAACAGAACCTTGCATATGGGTCTGATGGTCTGGGTGCCATACAGTAGATACATTTTAGAAAATCGGTCTGTTGTTGAATCTTACTTGCATGAATTCTGTTCTGTGGCCCTCGTCTCTCCTTTAATTCACCATCAACTTCTGTAAGAGATTGATCTGGGGTACCTAATGTTGCTTGATTTGAACCAAACCTTGAAGCTGTGAATCTTGCTTCACTCCTGGGTTTTCTGTAATCTGACCCTCTGACATTTTCTAAGTCATCTGGAGTTGATGTAAGAAATCGCTTTGATTTACCCTCAGTCCCCCATGCTTCAGACGTCTTCAATTTGGATCCTCTTCCGGCGTTCTCAAGAATTTGACCGAACAAAGTTCCCGACGAATCCCTTAAATTTCCAGTTGACGAAGAAATGCTTTGCTGAAGCTCAGAGACATTGTCTTCACCATCTAAACCTTCTCTTTCTTCTGGTTCTTCAACCATAAATGTCTTGGTTACAATGGAACTTTCTCTCGTGCCATCACTCGAGGTTGCCAGCGCTTTTACGATCCGCTTTCCTGGACCCAAAACAAAAGGTCTGTTGTATTTATAGGTGCATTTGATGCCAATTTGTTTAAATGGCTCCGGTTTCATTCCGTTTATAGTGTAATATATCAGAGTATCTGGTGTCTCTGAACGAAGCTCGATGGGAGTATGAGTGTCTATGATGTTTTTTCTTCCTCCCATTGGAAGCCTTAACGGCATAATACTGGGAACTCTGATCATTCCTGCTGTCATTTTTCAAAAGTTTTTTGACGCCAGTCAACCTATTCTTCTATCGGTCTCCTTCTTGATTTGGTACCAGATAAGACTACACGTCCCACTGAAACTTATCTGCGAAATCTGGACCAGATTTTTTTTCTTAAGAGATTTTAAAGCACCTACAATTCAAAGCGTCCAAATAGGATCGTTTGCCCTTTTAGCCGCCATTTTTCAAGCTATCCCACAATACTCATCGCGATGGGCAGACTAACAAAGTCTCGTTTCTATAGTAACAAAGATCAATGATCATGCGGCCATGTTGAAGTTGTAGGTTAAAACTTGTTTACAAAGTTTGTTCATCGAAGGATAAACAACCCCGATGTACACTTGAAGTGGTGAGAAAAAGATTATCTGACAAGGGCTAAGTCTGAAGAAGCGTCGAGAGTGGATGAAAGGCTTGTAGCACTCAAAATTATGTTTTGATTAACAGCGTCTCTAAAGCCACTTTTCTTCGTCAAAGTTGACAGAGCGAAATTCAGCGAAAATGTCTTCTTCTACCAGAAATAGTAACAGTCCAGCCATTGATAAGGCGTGGTTTCACGATACAAAGACTAGCTGCGAGAAACAAGCGCGTTATTTTGTACATATTCGCAAACTTCAAGATGAGTTGATCAACCGCGAACAACACAATTTGATCAACGCGATGGAACGTTTAAAACAACTTTCTTACCCTCGAAGACGACCAGTGATTCGAAACGTCGACATTGATGCATCATCAAACCCTGCCTTTAGTCGAAAATTTCCTGCTAGAAACTTAAAATTGAGGAAGGAAGGGAAACACAAAGCCATACAAGCAAAAGAACAGCCAGATCTCAACCCTGTTTCAGGGAAGCCCCTGATCAAGAGAACTGACAAGAAACCTGATAGCTCTGCGTATCATCATTTTTTCGTAATGCCACCACTCCTCAATGATAGAGCACCACTCCTCAATGATAGAGACATAGCAAAAATTGTACACAATGCGAACAGTGCTTTCACTTCTGAACCCTCAACTTACTTGCTCCAACCACATTTGCCGTCTATTCCCAATGTAGGCCGAAAAACAACTTTCATGGTTGATAATAGACTGAAACTCCTAACACTGGCTGAATCAGAGTTTTGTGAAGACGGAGAGGGTAGCGTCAGTGGTATGAGGAAACATTTGCATACAGGGAAATCACAACGCAGGAAGAAAAGTCCAAAATCTACACAACATTTTAGTGAAAATGTCCCAGTTGAAAATACAACGAGGAGAGGAAATGTTTTGTGTTTTGACGTTGACCCAAATGATCCGAGTTTATTTTCTCACTGTTTTGAAGATAAGAAAGAGGACGATGAGCCATTTAAAACAACACCGTTGCCTCCACCAAACTCCAGACCAAGTACATCAAAATCAAAACTATCAGTAAGTTATGTTGTGGAAAGTGAAGAAGGGAAGACAGTTAGCAAAGCTGACGCCTCAAAGACTGAGGTTGCTCTTCAGGAAGATTCAAAAAGTCAAGATACAGTGGAAGAGCTGGCAAATACAAACAATGAAGTTAAGGGCAAAATGCCTGATATGGTCATAGCTGACATGAACCCTAATGTTAATGAGGGTGATGTCAAGGTGTCAGATGTCAAGGACTTGAAATCAGATTTTGCTGGAAAAGATTTAGATGAAGTTAATGATGATGTAGAAACAGGGGATATTGTACAGCCTGTTGTAACAATCACCAATCAACCTGTACCAGTCAACAATAGTGAGAAAGATGATGGATCCTAATGGGACTGGATCATCTCATTTTTTTACAAGATATTTTGTTTGTAAATATTTTCTTGAAACAGTTGCATAGCAGAAGTCATTCATTGACCATGAAAATTCTCCTCGTAATGAGAATACAGCATCCAATCAACGTATGATATTGTTGGTGTGGAACAGTGAGAGGGCATTCTCATGATAAATCACCTTTAACTCTTTACTCTCAGGAGTCACCAAAACCGAGTTTCTCCTAACGACCCCAATACAGTTGCAAGCAGAATGGTGTTGAAAAAATACTTAGAAACATGTCAGTTAGCATTTATTGTTTGATGTAGTCTTTAGCCATGATAAGAAAAATTTCCAATGCAAAGAGAGGCCTACTAGTACCTAGGTGGTGCTTAGTTCTCCCTCATACTCATGCAGAGACATGCAAACATACATACAAAAAAAAGAGTTAAATAGTACAGTCATTAAAATTAACAATATTTACAATACTCTTCATTTACTTATTAGTGATATAGCTTCAAGTTATATAATTTTTTTATTGTACTACTATCCTCTCAACAAGGGGTTTGACAAATGCTAATTGTTGAGAGATCTTGAGTTGCTGACACAAAGGAGTCTGAAGTTCTCTTATAAGCAGCCATGTCTTTAGCATTTTTAATGAAGTTCATGTAAGATATATCTTTTATCTAAATTATATTTATCTGGGAAGAGTATTTATTTAGGGAAAATAGGTCAGATTGAAAATATTTATCATTTGGTTGAATGGACATGTATTCAAATATGCTTGAATTTAATATATCTTCAATGGCTTATATGCCAGTAATGTTTGTATCTAGATATTAAACACTCATTGATCTTGGGGATGGTTGATCAAGGTTTTTAGAAAGAAATGTAGGGGCTTTTCTGATAGAGGATGTTGGTAAGAAAGAAGAGAAAACTCTCTATATCTGATGGAGTGAAAAAAGCTCAGGTTATCAAAATTAATTTATTACAGACTGACATCAAAATGCATCTTCTCCATACTTCTCTCTATACTTTTCTTAATGTGGAAATAAGGAGAATTTGTTTAACAATCAAGAACTTCTTTAGTTGGTGATCATTTCCTTTATTCTTGTGACCATGCAATGCTAAACAAGCACCCTCTTAAGACATTTACACTAATGAGAAATTGAAATAAAAGTACTATTTGTAGTAAAAAAATGAAGTTTTGTTAAATTTCATTTTTCTCATTGTACCAAAAATACTGAGAATGTCCAGAGATTCTTATTTTGCCTTTTTTTTTTTTCAACAAAAAGTTCTTATTTAGTTTTTCATTTGATTTTGGCTTGTCCGAAAAATGCCAGAATGTATGCGTGTGTTACGAGAGAGAGAGAGAGAGAGAGCAATATGCCCCGTGCCCACCCCTAGCAATATCCATTTCCGCCACCACACCTCCGATCTGTCCCACAATGCTCCTGGACGCGCAGTGGGCAGGTCGCCATCTTGATTTTGCAGAGGCTTCCGCTATTCCTCCACGGAGTGAATTTTGCTACTTTCGTTAACTCGTCTGCCAGAGCTCTTTGAGTTTTGGAGGAATTCAGTGAAGTAAAAGATGACGGGACGGCAACCGGCCTGTGTCATCGACAATGGAACGGGGTAGGTGTAGAAAGACGCATTTAAATCTGTAATCATCTCATGAAGCCGAACTATTTCCTGCTGTAAAACTCCCATTGTCGTTTTTTTTTTCGTTATGAGGTATGTTTTGTTCTTTCAATTTTACTTCGGGTTACCCTATCCCGTTTCGATCGCTTAGTGTAAACTACATCAACTTTGTGAAATCTCTGTGCATCACTGTTTCTATTGATAAATTTCTTTCTTGGTTAAATTGATTTATGGTTGAGACTTTGACAGTAATCGTGTAGTTGTAGCTCTGTAACTTTAGTTTCTTTATTTTCTTGTAGAATCCGTCGCAAAAAGATAGTAACTCTTCTTGCTTTTGATTAAGTATCGTCAACCGGGGAATAAGAGAGTTAAAGTAGTCGGCAAACACATGCACAAATAACCAAACACGAACCGGGCTTAGCTAAGAGACGAAAGAAGTTTTAAAGCTTCCAAAGATGTGCGATAAACGAATAACTGAATGGATAAATGATAAAGCCTAAGAGCAGAAAATGAACATTACCTTTGAAATTGTTTTTAGTCTGGTGGCTAGTAGGCAGCTAGCCCTATTTGGTATGACACTCCTCCTTTTTAATGCATATATAGTGTTCTTGTCTAAACTTTCATTCCTTTCTGGAAGATACTGAACCAGATTTTCTATAAACCATACTATAAATAGTGTGAGAGATACATACATGTGGCATAGATAAAGATATTGTAAATCATAGCATTCTTTTGAGTCAGTCTTTTGAGGCTGGTGTGCTTAGGAAGCCAAGATGACTTAATTCTTTCTGTGTAGACCAGTTGGGTGGAACCTTGATAGAAGTTATTAATGTTGTCACTATAAAATAAAATAGATGAGAGAACAGAGAAGACGGATGAATTGAAGTATACTTGCATGGCAAGTGTTGGCTGTTGCAAAGCAACACAATCTTTGAAGGGGGCCCGTTCCCCAGAAAATTTGAATTTTTGAAGCTCTGTGAGACATGATTTCAAGCATTCTGGGACACATTAGAGTGACTTTTTTCAGTTAGACATTGATGGTGGAGTCAGTTCAAAAATAATTATTTTTTTCTCATTAATCACAATTCACATAGTAGCCATTGCAAAATTATCTGATGGCAGGTGGGTTCCTGTCCCCTATCAGCTTCTGATGACAACCCTTAGTTGCCATGGGCTGAGTTAATTTATGGGTTTAAGGCCATTTGGGTATGGATACAGGGGTAAGTTTCTAAAGAAACTGTGGTGCTGGGTCAGTGGGAGAGTATAACAGGGTAATTTACTATTATCAACTGAGTTGATAACATAAATTGGCCACCATAAAGAGTTTCTAAGCTGACATTTCAAGCATTAGCCCTTTGTCAGACAAAGGGCTAATGCTTGAAACTTTACCATTAAACTCTTTACAGTGGCCAATTTTACATTAGTTGAAAATACCAAATTACTTTTGGGTATTGGCTGTAAATTGCATGGAAAACTTAAATTGTAGTAAGTAGCCTTCAAGAGCCTTGCAGTCAGAAAGACAAATGATAAAGTAGGAAGGCAGAGATCAGGGAGGATTTTCTCTGTTATTCCTTCTCTTTGTCTGCACTTTTCATGATAACCTGACTGGCTGGAAGAAGCTTTTTGTAAGGTGCAACAGGAGCAACCAAACAATTTCAGGTTACCTTCCTCTTTACATTTTCAGGTATACAAAAATGGGTTTTGCTGGAAACACAGAGCCACAATATATTTTGCCAACAGGTAACTTTCAGAGGAGACTTCTTTGTATCTTAAAACTTATAAATCAGTGCATGATATAGTGTTTCTTTAAGTTATGATTGAAAATTATTCAATGAAGGCAAAATGGACATTGTTGAATAATCTACAAGATGAAGTAAGGGGATTATTCCACAATATTCACTGGGTGAATAACTGTTTTAGTATAATTACTTGTAAACTTTTGAATTAACAATGGTTGTAAATTCTTTAATTGAAGAGAGCATTGTGCCTTTTTTGGTCACAATTATGCAGATTAATTGTATGAAGATTAGCTACCAGTTTTAATAGGTGCATGAACTTCATGCAGCAAAACCTTCATATGTTTTTTGTAAAATGTGCTCTGCCAAACTCATTAGCAATTGCTCTTTGCAATTTGATTTACTTCTATTGTGATTATCACTTCTGCAGAATTATTGAAAAAATGCAAGGCAGCCATTTTGAAATCTAGCACTCCTGCTAGAATCGCCTTGTGCAAGGTTATTATAGCAAGATATAATGTAGTCCTCGACCAATCAGAGTACATGTATCTCTATTAACACCAGACAATTTATACTAATCATAAATACATGTAAGTAGAGAAAAATGTCAGCTTTTACCCTTTGACTCCTGAGATCTCATGAGTAATTCTCCTTCCAGCTCCCTTTCATTTCCTTGTGAGGTAGGCAGGAGAATTTGGTGTTGCATCAAGATTGCATCATCAGCTGATGCAATTTTTTTTCTCATAACTTGTTTGTAAGACAACACTTTAGAATCACAAGGAGAAGTTACATGTGAATCAGCTGAGGGATTCTAAGGTTCTCTTGCTTAAAGCCTGAAACTAAAATTACAACTCATGGTCTTGCAAATTAATATTTAAAATTGATTTAAGTATTGTGTTGCCTTTATTTCCTCAGCTATTGCCATAAAGGAATCTGCTAAAGTTGGAGACCAGGCTCAGCGGAGAGCTGCCAAGGGTATTACCGATTTAGGTAAATAATGATTTAATATTAATCACTATTTAAGGCATTGTACATTATAGCAACACCTTGACTTTTTCAGAAACAATAGCAGTGATAAATTTTTCAGGAGGCAAAGAGCTAGAAGTTTTTATAAAATATAACTATTTAGGTTAGGTTAACACACATGCAGTAGCACTAAGTTTGAAATGAGAATTTTGAATCTCTTCCTTTTGCTCCCAGATTTTTACATTGGTGATGAAGCAGTAGAGGCTCCAGGTTATGCAACAAAGGTTAGTATAAACCATTAAATCTATCACACAATTTTGGATGTGCACCTTTCCACAAGCTAGTGTGAGTGGTTCAGTCCATTCATCAATTTTAGTACATACACAACTTCTGTGTCATTACGAAACTTGATGTTTTTCTTTCTCTTTTTCTTCACTGAGCTCAAAACTACCCTATTTATTTACTGAGCTCAAAACTTACCACTTCTATTCACAAAACATGACACTACTGATATAGCTGATCCTAGTAGTATGCAGGACATGTGTCATATATAAATTTTGTAATGGGCCTTGCTCACCATAGATTCTCTGTGGCTCAGTGGTAGAGCATTGGAGGTCTGAGATGAAAAAATGTCTTTCTCTATTTCTGTAGTGAGCTCAGAGCTTATCATCTTTCATATTTTATTTACATGTTGATAAGTGTAGGTATTACATAAACTTCCGAGTAAAATGTTCTGAAAGATGTAATTTTACCCTTTACGTTGTAACATGGGTATGCAAATTCTCTTTACATTTCCTATGGTACAGAATAAGGATAATTTTTTTGCTATCATTTCCTCTGTTCCTATGACCTTATTGTATGATTCAAGGGTGACATTTTAAGGAAAAATTAAATGCTAGTCAGGGTCAAGATGTCAAAGAGGTAAAGGCCATGTGCACAGATTTGGCAAATTTCCAAATGGCTTAAGTGATTTTCTCGAGAGCTTTGAGGAATTCTTGTGCTAAACAAATCTTTTCAGCAAAGGAATAGAATCAGAACATAGATGTTCAGCTGTACAGTCACACATTTTAATTCTATACGCATTCACTTGGGGGACCAATGGATTGAAATTAACCTCATGTTTATTTTTGGTCTTCAGTGGCCTATTAGGCATGCTATTGTTGAAGACTGGGACTTAATGGTATGTAACTACTGTATTTTTGGCTTGTAATGTAGTTTGTGTCCAATCATGCATTTCTAATTTACATGCTTTTGACAAATAACAGTACTAAAACATAGTATTTGTATCATGCTGACTTGTAAAGCTTTGCAGAATTTATCCTATTTTCTGAAGAATCGTCCACCAAAAATTTAGTTGGTGAATGCTGCTTTTTCGTCTGGTGAATTTTGCTGGCAGCTGGAGCCCACTGAAACAACCCTGAATGGCACAAGGCACTGTAGGAATGAACTGTCTTGCCCAAAACCACAAGAGAAGCTTCTGATTTACTCTCATTTGGTGATGGAATGTCTTACATTGTATTTTCTGTTCAATCTCTGGTATTTAGGAAAGATTCTGGGAGCATTGTATATTCAAATATCTGCGAGCTGAACCAGAAGACCATTATTTCCTTCTTGTAAGTATTTTGCCTCCGATGAATGTCATGCTAAATGTTGTTGATGATGATGATGTCGATGATGATATTAATAGCAAGAACAGCAAAAGTGAGTAGACAGTGATTCCTTTCATTGAGAGAGTTGTGGTCATTTTTGTTTCAGACCGAACCACCATTAAACACACCTGAAAACAGAGAGTACACTGCAGGTGAGATTCTAATGCCATTAAAATTTGAAACCATTTGTTAGTTTTGTTGTGAAAAGACCTCAGTTTTGCTGTCATTGATATCTCCTTTCTGCCTGCTACACATTTTGCATGATATCATCATTTCAGTTTTGTAAAACAGTCAATGCTTCTTTAGTCAATATTTCTTGAACCTCTTGTCATCTTTCTGCTTATTGGTGTATTACTACTGTATTGAGAAAATACTTGTTGATCTTTCCTAGGAAAGTGTTAGCAAAGAAATGTTAATTTCTTGTTAGGAAGTTCAAAGGGAATTTCAAGAAGGTTTGTTCCTGATGAAGAATTGTTGATTGTTTTTTTTTCTTTCTTTCAGAAATTATGTTTGAGTCATTTAACATTCCAGGCTTGTACATTGCTGTGCAGGTGAGGATCTGTTACTCCATCATCTTAAAAAAGTCAGGCTTTGATGTTGTTCCCACTCCTGCCTCTCAGACTCTAAGATTATTGATCATTTCACCTGTGCCTTCTCCAATGTCATCTATTGCATAACTTAAACTCATTACAAAAATTTATACAAGAAGACAACTAAGCATCCTATTCTGAGAACATCCTCATGAGATAGTAAGGAATGATAAAGATGCATCCAAACTAGTCACTAGACATTTAAATCTCCCTGATCATTTTAAGCATTGTATGGCAGTCTGCAGCCTTTCCCTCCATCTAGGCAGTTTGGAAAGCAACAAAACTTGTGAACAAAAATTTGTCTTGCAAATTGGCACTCTTAATCCCCATGGTATTAACAAACAGTTAATAAAATGTTAGTCACATTTGTGATTAACAAATGCATAATTTCCTTTCTGTTTTAATTCTGTATTTTGTTGTTGTTTGACAGGCTGTGTTGGCTCTTGCTGCATCATGGACTTCTCGTCAAGTTGGAGAAAGGACACTTACTGGTACAGTGATTGATTCAGGAGATGGTGTGACTCATGTTATTCCAGTGGTAAGAGGACTTGTGGTGTATGCGTTAGTCCTCACAAATTTATGGGGAATATGTTGTAGTTTAAACCAATTTCATGCCAGAATGAAATTTTTAACTACACCAAATACAAACACAATGTATCAATTATTTGAATACTATAATTATGATAATGTTACCAGTACTTATCTTCCAGCAAGATTTCTTTGGGGCCACACATGTAGATAAAAGATCACTGGGTAAAAAATCATGACCTCAGTAATAAAGATACTTGACCTTATCCCTAGAATTAAAGGGTTAAAGTTGAAATTCTTTAACAGCTTTTGGAAATTAACTAAGTGTGTTAAATCCAGATCCAGTTTCCAGAATTTTACTTATTATCCTGTACACCAAATTCAGTTAGTACTTTGTCCAACCCTTTGGTTGCATTGTGTGAACCTTTTCACTCTCAATATTTCAATAATAAATCTCCTAAGTGCTGGCTATGCAATTCTTATGATGTTAGTTCAGAGAATTTAGTATTGGATCAATTAATAATCCCTTGATTGATATTTTTCTCGATTCTCATCATTTGTCTGCTTGATATTGTGTTGGTATTGTAAGGAGAAATTCTGTCTTGCTCACTCATGCAAGTTAAGTGGTTGACTTTGCAACGTTTATGTTGGTGTATACTAAGAATTTCTGAGAAGAGGTCTTGTAATTCTGAAGTCATCTGTGTTTTGTTTTCTTTTATTTTTCTGTGTCCAGGCTGAGGGTTATGTCATTGGCAGCTGCATAAAACACATTCCCATTGCTGGCCGCGATATTACCTTCTTTGTTCAGCAACTTCTTCGTGAACGTGAAGTAGGAATACCACCAGAACAGTCTATGGAAACTGCTAAAACCATCAAGGTAATCAACTTTTTATTTCTGCAGTTGTTTGAGAATACAGCACATTGACCCTACATGTATTTCGAGGAATTTTATATGAGGGTTGTTTAGTAAGGAGACTCTTGTGCTGAGACTGAGACTGAGATTTGAACTCTAACATCAGCATGCAAATTCTCCTTAGTGTTCTCCATACATTTCCATAAGTGCTGATAAGGAGAATTTGTCTATCAATCAAGAGTTTCTTTAGTTGGTGATCATTTCCTTTATTCTTGTGATCTTAACATGTGATTTGGGGGTGATATTGTGAGGGGAAATTAGATGTTGGTCACTTTTAAGGGTTAAAGGGTTAAAAAAAAAATTTAAAAAAGCAGAGGGTGTAGAGGGTGATATCAGGTTATTAAAAAGAATTTTCTGTTACGTGCCAAACTGAAAAAAATTCAAATTTTTTTAAATCACCATTCGGCACAAAACTTACTCCGGTTTTTTTTTTTCATTTTTCATTTTCAAGGAACGCTGGGGCTACATCTGCCCAGACATTGCAAAAGAATTTGCAAAGTATGAAGCTGAACCAGCCAAGTGGATCAAGAAGTATGAGAGTGTGAATGCTATTACCAAGAAGGTAGCAAACTTTATATTTTACTATGTCGCTTTTATTGGTAACTGACTGAGGATTTAACCACAATCTTATTTGTAATGACACTTGTCTGAATGTGTTGGTATAAATGCAGCTGTTCCCTAACCCTCTACACCCTCATTGCAGAATGCAAAGAAATCTTATGTCCCAATATGTTGCATTTTAACTGGAGTGACATTGTTCTAATGTTGAACTGTTTTTCGTGATATCTGCACAGCCTTTTGCGGTAGATGTGGGATACGAGCGATTTTTGGGCCCGGAAATTTTCTTCCACCCGGAGGTAAGGCTGGAGTTTACAGAATTCTTTTTATTGGATTTTTTGTTTAAAAAACTACCGGAAAAAATCCATTAGAAGACATTTTGAAAATATTTCGTGTTAAATCTGTCGTTAAAATTTTGACATCAATGCTTCAAATTTGAAACAGATTAGCAACGAGTTTAAGACATTGGTTTTTAGCAGTACAATATGTTCTTGCATAGCAAGTGCTCAAAAAATAAATTCGCCTTCCTTGATCGCCATCGTTTTAGGAAATAATTTGCTGTTTTGCTTTAGTTCTCTAACCCAGATTTCACCACCCCTCTGTCTGAGGTTGTGGACAACGTGATTCAGAACTGTCCAATTGATGTCCGTAGGCCTCTCTACAAGGTGAGTGGTGATACAGTTGCGAAGGAGACGACGTAGATGCTTTGTAGCTTGTTCTTATTGTTTAACTTTCCACTCCCATCACCATTTTACTAAAAAATATATCAACACCGTTAGGGGAGATTCCTGTTGTGTTACTCGTGCAGTTGAAAGGGTAAATGCGAATGCACTTTCTGTTGGTTCAAATACGCCTTGACCAAATTTTGACCGGAATTCTACCATTCTGACTTAAGTCAATTGAAAATAGCTTGTATCTCATGTTGTGCTTTGCTTCTGCGGAAAGAATGGAACATGTGCAATCTAGCGTCAATAACGCAAACTCAGCTTAGAGACGCGCGTATCCAGGCCTTTAAGAGAGCGTGAATTCCTGATCTGCGTTTGTTACCATCAGCTAAAACAGCCTCATAGCTGCGAAAGTAATGGCATTTAACTAGGCTAGTTTCGAAAATTTTTTAGTTTTTAGTGCTACATTTGCAAGCAGCCCAAGTGTCATGAGATTAACGAAATCGCTTTGTTAGAATTGAGATGAAGGAAATCACTTTGAATGATGATGCTTGCTTGGAGAATCTTCAGGTGTAGACTCGCTTAGAGAAGTCAAACCTATAAACTTCAGGTTGATGTTCACCACTTTGTCTGTTACTTCTCTCCGCGCATGGTGACCTCTTCCACACTTCTGAGTAGTTTCTTTTATTTACGAGTAGCGGTTGTACAAAGTTAAAGTTAGTTATGGCCTTAGCTGCTCCTCGAGAATAGACCATCGACCATTTTCCTTTTCCACTTCGTCCCTTCCGGGGCTAGCCTTTCGAGAGTGGCCGAGGTGTGGCTCCAACTTTTAATCTCAGCCTGAACATCTCGCCACCTGGTTATTTTTGGGAGTGTTGTTTTCCGTTTGCCCGGGAACCCCCTTTTCAAGGCTTACTTGGTAACACTGTTAAGATGTTTCTTCAAAACGTGGCCAATCCATCTCTACTTTCTCCAACTGATTGGAATTTGAATAGGTACCTGACCAGATCTTTCCATAGATGCTCGTTTGTTACTCTCTCTGTCACATGTTATATACTAAGTTAGTCAACAAATCGACCGTAGTTTAGCGTGGTTTGCACTCTTATCGACAACGATATTCGTCATCACAGTGGTCAAATGAAGCGATTTTCTCAGTGCGTTGCCATTGCGTAACAATTTGAAGCGAGCGGCAATGTTTGTACGATAACGGCAAATTGGCCAATCAGAAATTACTGCCAATTGTGGTAAAATCTAATATTGTTGGGTTTTGCTGTCAGTTTTGGTCAAAGTTACACGCGCGAATCATGCGCTTTCCATCTCGCTATCGAAAGATGCCTCCACTTCTCAAAGAGTTTCCGTGGTTTTTCAAGTTCTATTCTTCGTAATAACACTATTATTGTGGTCTTCATTGCCTCTGCTAACTTACCTTATGTTTTTTTCCTTCTTTGTTACTTTTTTCCGTTTTCCAAAGAACATTGTGTTATCTGGTGGTTCAACCATGTTCCGTGACTTTGGCCGCCGCCTTCAACGTGACATCAAGCGTGCAGTAGACGCTCGACTAAAACTTAGTGAGCAACTAAGTGGAGGACGCATCAAGGTAGTTACATGTGGTACTTTTTTTTTTGTTTGTTTGTTTGTTTTGTTTCTTTCAAGCTAAATATGCGTGTCTTTTAGTGATTTTATTTCGTTCCAGTCCCCCTTGCGTCGTGTCGTTATGAGCGCTTTTAAATGCCTTTATGAATTTTTTTCCAGCCGAAACCAATTGACACTCAAGTTATAACCCATCACATGCAACGCTATGCTGTGTGGTTTGGAGGAAGTATGCTGGCTTCTACGGTACGTGAACCATACTCCAAAGCTAAGAATTGAGTCTAAACAATTTGATGTAGAACAACCTGGCTAAAATATGTATACTTCACCACCTGAAAGAACTGCTTTGCAGCCTTCATTTGAGTGTCACAACTAGAACTTTTATCCTCAGGTTTTAAGAGGCTACTTCACAACCCACGCATGCGTACGAAGAACTGAGAAAATGGTGACGCATTTGCCGTCGAGTTTCTTACAGTCCAGATGATGAGTCGATTAGTAAAAAGCTTCAAAATCTCCCCCCCCCCCCCTCACTCCCATAGGGCAACCCTCCGGGCGTTTGAACTTTCGAAAATTTGTTTGTTCAAATTCTTTCCCTTCCCCCTCCTTCAGCCAAAATTATTTTCAAATGCCCCACCCAATTTTTATGTGAAAGGAAGAATCAGCCACCGTGACTTTCTACATATTGACCAAGCTTTAAACCTAGACCTTGTAGACCTTTCCTTCTGAGCCATTCGCTCCCGAAAGGGAAGCATTTGCCTTTAACGCCTCTATATTAAAAGATGTAATACTTGTATTCCGCTGGAAAGACTTTACACTTCCTGTTCAATTCCTCACCCCAGCCAGGCAAAGTTCAAATATCCCCACCCTACAGGCGCAAAGCTCAGACCCCTCGTGTCTCTAAAACTCAAACTCAGTTGTAAACATCTAAGTTTTTTATGTTTTTACTTTACTCTTCATTACAGCCGGAATTCTACACAGTATGCCACACCAAGGCGGATTACGATGAGCACGGACCTAGCATTTGTCGTCACAATCCCGTGTTTGGCGCCATGTCTTGAGAACAAAGTTCCATTCTTTAGGTCACTTTTAGGTTCCGTCGAAATTCACTTTGATCTTTGCAAGATAATTGTTAAATAGAAACTTTTTACCAGTCTTATGCTGAGAGTAATCGTTATTCTTTGGTTAGCGGCAGGTTCTTGACCACCAGTCGCTGAATTCGGGTACTGTAGACTCTTGGTTAAAGGTTGAGCTTTGACTGAAAGAGTCAGCAGTTTTCATTGTAACTTCAGAAATTAAGCATACCTCTAAAGATTGTAGCAGATAATTATATTGTTTTTTGTATGTTTGTTTGTTTGTTTTTTTTTTCATGAGTGACACGAAGCTCATTTTCTTCAAAATATTGCGCATTTCTGAATTTTGATGCTATTACCATTTCTGATGGCATGGCATTGGCAACATTTCTGTGCCAGGTGTCAATCAGAAAATGAATTTTGAAGTAAGGGTTTCACTACTTAAGGAATTGTGTATTTGAAATTCTTTGTAAAGTTACGTGCGTTGATTTTGTTCGGAGAAGAAAAACTCGGATAGCCGATGATTTCGGCGTAGCAAAAGAGCAAGCCTAACATAACTTGTGTTTTAAAATTGCCACAGAAGTAGGAGACCACTTTTTCGAGCATCCAAAGAAAGTGAAATGTTATTAAATGCTGACCTCCATTTAGACGAACCCCATTGCAGCACAAAAGAAGTCGTTCTTAAAAGGACTTCGGTTTTGATTTCATGTGACTTTTTTCCGTTCATGCTATCAAGGGAACTTTGTTTGCAATGCAGCCGTTTTATCTGTTGTAGCACTTAAGCGCGAACGAGCCTGACTTTTTGATTTAGAGAATGAGAGGCTCACTTTCTGAGCCAGTGTTGTATCATTTGGTCAACCTTTATATTTCCACGCTTTGTATGTTAAACAGATTTTCTTGGATTATGTATCGCCACAGCGAACGGTGTATTGAAACATATTTTGAAAAATAAAATTCCTTTGTTAAAGAATCAAATTCTATCCTGGCGTCTTGTGTATCTCGAACACTCGAAGATTCTACAGGGTAAGAAGTATGATTGCACGTGCTCAAAAATATGTCGGAGAAGAGGCTAAAACTTTTTCTGCATTTATTTGGTTGTTATCTTCTACGTATTTCTTCTTATTAATCTAAAATAGATAAACATTGAATGCTTTTCGATTGAGTGTTGTAAAAACCAAAACCAAAGTATTCACGACGGCCAATCAGAGGAGACGAAAATACTTTTAAAGAGCCAATAAGAACTCAAAGTAAAACCAAATTAACTGCCTAAAGCGCGGGAAAACGCGGGTGACCAAGTCGTGATGGCTTTTTTAGTTTTGCTTCTGATTGGTGCGAGAGAGTGTGCGAGTTTTGTGGACCAATCACGAAGCGAAGAAAAGCAAAACCAATGCAATCCTTTTGACACCCGGTTGAAAACTGCTGTGTAATTTTCCAAAACCAACTGAAGCCAGACCTTCCCTCCGAAAAGAAAAGAAGCTGCTCTCTTACCGATTTCGGTGAACAGAAAAGAAAATATATGCCTATGTAAAAAAAATCCAAGCTTTGATAACCTTTGTAAGTACCATTTCAAGATCCATTGTTTTATCCCATGATTTGATAACGGCTGATTTCGAAAAATCGGCTCGAATGAAAAACAACCGTGGATTTGAATGTCATCTTTCATCTAAATATTATTTTTGTCTTGGAAATATCTCAACAGAAATATGCCGTTATGATCAGGCTTTTGATACTAAAATATCAAACTCTTACCAAACAACTGGATTTTGGAAAAAAATAGTTATTCACTTAAACGTATAGAGGGTTACTTTTCTGTGCTATTTTTTGGATAACTGCTTTGTGAAACGGCAAACGTGCCATTGTAGATTTGCGCCAAAGCAAAGAGTAATTTTAAAGTTGTACGAATTACCTTTGTGTTTTTTGTTATTCGTAATGTCTTAAATTTAGCAAAAGGTTGTTTAGCTTTCATTAATAAGCTTTTTGCCAGCGTAAATTAACGGATTACTCCAAAACAGAGAAAAGCATGATATCAAATACTCAAGGAGATTTGGAGGTCTACAGAGTTACAAACACATTTCGAGGCAAAAAGTTTGCCCTCACGATCGTTCATTAATACATTTGGTGGTTTTGTGCGCTTTGTACGATAATTAAGTAACATCTGAATATTACTTTGATCACTAATTAGAGATAGTGAAAAGCTCATTGCTTTATTTAAAGCGGAGGGTGTTTTTTGTGATGCAAAATTTGCCTTGACACTGCTTGACCTTGCATTGATTAGACGTCATCTCAGTTTCGGGCGTGCAAACTTCGGTTTGTTTACCATATTTACTGAGTCGAGTTCAATGGCACTTCTACAATAGATCGACCGATCTTTAAGCTTTTTAAGAGACTTATTGAGCCAATTTGGAACCAGTGTTTACTGAAGTTTAATGAGTTGAAGGATCATTAGCATTGGCAAATCCCGATCAATGATTGGGCCAAATTTCGTGACGCATTTAATTCTACTGTTAACATTCACGGGTCAAAATTGCTGCTTTGTGCGAAAGAGTCGTTTTAATGTGTTACTTATCGTTGAATTTTCTCGATCGTTTAGCTTTGTTGACCCCAATAGAAAGCCATTCTTGGGTTTTCAACCCGTCGAAAGCATTTAAAATCGATTTGGCCTTCGCGCGTATAGCATTAAAACTTTTTATAATGCGCCGGTATGCGCTGAACCGCTCAGCGAGGACATCACTACATGGAAATGGTTTGTGTACATAACTAGGCTGAAAGGATTTTAACAAACTGTGGACATGATTGATGGAAAGATTCACGGCACGGATTGCTTCGAAGTGGAACTGGTAAGTGCTGAAAAGTTTTGCAAACTTTTCTATTTATAGTTTACAAAATTACCGACGGGTCAGTGAGGCGCGAAGTCCTTGCTCCAAATGCGAATGAGACAAACATGTCACTTGCTCGTTTGCCTATTTGCTCGTTAGAGCCCACTGCAGCTTTGGTGACAATTCTTTCACTTTTTTCACAGTTTCTTCAGAGAAATGAGTTTTCAAAGCTCTACCAGGTTAAAAACAACGAAGATGGAAGGAAGTACTCAATGGAAGTGTCACCGCGGGATGCAAATTCTAGAGCGCCCGTCAGCCCCTATGTTCAGTTAACCAAAACAACGCTCTCTTCATTTTGGGTTAGTCTACGGTTTACGTTTCAAACTCGGTCGAAATTTTATTTTATTCTCGACTTCGCCGGTGGCCAAACGCTATCGCAAAAGTTGAATATTTGTGGTGGAAAATTTTCTGAGCCTTTAGCGAGATTTTATGCTGCGGAGATTGTGGTCGCCTTGGAGGAATTACACAGCTTCCGCCTGGCTTATAAAGATCTAGATTTAGATGTGGTGTACGTGGATTCTGAGGGTCATATAAAGCTTTGGCGCAGTTTTTGTGGAAAACTTTATTGGGGACAAAGCGAATGCGTTTGTTCGCTTGCTGGGTTTTGCCATGGAGATCCATGCAATAACAATCATAATCTTACCAGCGAGTTTGATTTTCAAGAAGATTGGAAGGCTCTCGGAAGAGTGATAAATACAATGTTAACGGGAGATAACAATTATCGGACTTCCGAAAACCGGTAAGTATAGATAATATATATACGTATCTCTTTCTCTTGGCATGTCCTGCCATTCGTGTGGTTATGTTGTTAACACCTAATTCACTGGTCACTATTAACACTCTTACATGTCTCTCGGGAACACTCTCAAGGGTTAGCAAAATATCGTTTCTAAATCCCTCTCTTCCGTGAGCAAGATCAGTTCTTTTTTTTCCCGCAAGATTTAAAATACCGGTTCCATTTTGCTTCACCCTGTGAATAACTTTCGATTCGCTCGAAGACGTGAAAGCTCTCGAATTGACATTTTGACAGTATGGACAAAAGTGACGATTAGCATTTTAAGCGCGCTGATTTCCCATGCTTTTGATCACTTTTACCGTCTATAAATCGTCCTATATTTGACCATTTTTTTTTCAATATTTAACCTACTTCCGGTAGCTATCTTCTCCTCTCCTATACATGTTACAACGGAATGAAATTTATAAACGAAAATTGTAAGTAAAGTAATCTTTTGTTTAGGAATTGTCTCTTAAGATATTATGCTTACATCGGGACAAATGTAAAACAGTCTGAAGAATTTGATTGTCTTATTCATCACTAAGGTACTTTGGTGGCTGGTTTTCGGATTTTTCAGAAATCTGGTGGGATACTGTCGTAAAATTTTCGGCTAACAACATATTGGTAAGAGAGGCTAAATACGAACCGCAAAACCTCGATTGCTCAAATTATAATTTTAGGCGAATGTTGCTGGTTTTCGGTCGTTAAATGGGTTACTTAGTGGAGACTGCGTGTTTGTTGGACAACTCATTGTTTTAAAACATTTTGATCAACAAGTGGAAACATTTACAAAATTTCTATTTGAAATCCGAGTTATTTCAGTTGGTAAATACTCATTCGGAAAAAAGAAGGATTTATAAAGAAACGAAATAAATGTAAACGTTCTTCGTTTATCTTCCGTTATAAATGTTCACCGGAATTACACGCGAATACGGTTAGAGTTTTCTTACAATATTTTCCTCGTCCATAATTTATATTTTACCAGTGTCTGCTCTAAGAGCTTCTTTCAAGTAAGTAAAAACTTCACACCCACTATAAAGAAAAGAGAAAGGAGAATCTTGCCGAGAGTGGCAGTGCAAGGTTATCGAATTTGAGTCTCTGAATATCAGTGGCACAAGACCGGTTTAAATCGGAGATCATCATTATATTCTAAGCGATGTTCCAATGAAAAATTATCAATTGTTCTCCGATTAGGATCTGACCATAAAAAGGACGAACAAGTTTTAAATACGAGCGTAATATTCTTTTGTTGTCAAAGGCTTTACGGTTTTTATGAGTAAGTCACCAAAAGCCATGTTGACAACTTTTCTTTGTGAAAGCGATCAACGTCAATTTTTTGTTTGAATAACTATCTGGGCCCTCTGATCCTGTGTCACGTTCTGACCGTTAAGACTCCGTAAAATTCGATCAATCACGGATTTTTCTCTCCGTATACAGGAAACTGTGGAGGACAACTATAGTTAGGTTCAATTTCTTGGAGAACAATGTGTTTAAATTGGCGTGGTTGTACGTGACGTCGAATTTTAAAAAAGCTGACAATGGTTTTTTCGTCATCGAATGCTGAGTTACGTGAAGTGTCTTGAACAATACGAAAGCTTTTTTGATATTGTTTGTCAGATT